TCTCCATCTCCATCTTAGTTCAGCCAGCATCAACACAAAAATGAAATAAAATTTTCTATGTCCAATGCAGTAGGATTTTAGATTTGTCTTTAAAAGTGATAGTTTAAATATTAAGTATTTGTGATACTGTCTTTAAGTTTAAGTAGATTTTTGCATTGATTTTATATTAACATTCCTTTTATTTACAGTTTTAAAATTATCAAATGTCTGTTTTAGGATGAGATCATTCTTAAATATTATTGAAATATATAAATAATTTTTGGTGTAATATATTGGTTCAAATAACAATAAACCATACATTTATCATTATAATTTTTCACAGAATTTCTTATATAAAAGTCTAGAACTATTATATAAGAAATATTCACTATTCTTATGGTCACTCATTTAAAACATATTTTATATATTAATATATTTATATACACAGCATATATTTTAATATATGCTTTATATATATTTAATATAACTGTATCTTTTATATATAATATATAGATCATGAAAAAAACAGAAAAATTTATGACTTAGGAATTTTTAATTCTCAAATCCTAAAGATTAATATCTATTGGGAATTTGGAGACACTAGATATTTTTTAAATTTCTTGACTGATTTTTTTCATGAAATTCCCAAGAAATGCCAGGAAGGAATTCCTACATGGATACATTACCAGGTGCTATACTAAGCTTATTACATGCACTATCTAATTTAGTCCTCATAGTAACCTACAGTGTATAGGCACTTTGTTCCATATTACAGATGAGAAAACTAAAACAGAGATGAAGAACAGATACACTCAAGACCACATAACTAGGAGGAAGTAGAATAGATTCAAACCCAGATTGTCTAACTCCAGAAGACATGCTCTTGGCATATATACACTCTACTAGACAGTCAGAGGTGGCATTCTGCAACTGTGGAGAAAGGATTGAACTGAAAATGTATACTTAATATTTGTTTCTTTCTAATTCAGAAGGATATTTAGACCAGGTGCATATCTTGTGTGAGATACATTGTTGCTGTGAACAAAGAAGGGGGTATGATGTCCTTTGAGCTTCCCAAAGTATGTAGTTCCACACTGTTGACCTTTCCTTAGTCTTTAAAGAGATTAAAAGAGCACTTATACTAACTTTATTTCAGCATGCTACTTCTGTGCCAGAGCAGGCAAAGTGAAATGGTAGCTTCAGTAATTAGCCTTGCTAGTTTCAAGAAGGGCTGTGTGTTTTGTGGCTTTAAACAGTCTGGTGCTTGCTGAAGAGTTACTCCCATCTCTTCTTTGCCTTGTCTACATAAACAGTGCTGTTTTGTTTCTGGTTAATCCTCTCTTATCAATGTGTCTGTTTCATTCCCTGATTACATTCTGTGTTAACTCTGCCCATGGTATGTCAACCTCATTTCTTCAGCAACATGTTCATGGTGTTCGCATCTAATTAGAGACAAAGGGAGGAACAGTGACTTTACCTCTTAAAAATAACTTTTAAAAGCAATAGTAGAGTTTTTCTCTTTCTACATGCCAGAACGCTGCTTAGAGAAGCTGTTTAAAATTTCCCAACTTGTCTCTATGGGAATGTCAACAAAATTACTGGTTTGGTGTGAGCTCATCAAATTTTTAGATTCCAGAGCTTAGAAAAGAAAAAAAATCAAACAAATAGCAACAACAAAATCCCACAAAAACAGCAGCAACAACAACAGTGTGTGGAATGATGTGGCTGACTGTCCAGAGATTATGGTTTTCCTGTATGATGACGCTGACACGTGCTGAAGAGGGAGAAAGGCAAGTGGCTTAGTTTAGAATACTAACAGCATTGAAACATTGCATGGTTAGGAAGTGTCCTGTAGTGCACCCTATAAAATAATGTGGTTTTAAATGTCTTACTGGAAAGCCAAGTACGCATATGGTGATCATGAGTTTTGGCCTTGGAAAGACCTGCTGCTACTTATGTACTGTGTGTTATTGGACAAATTGCATAGCTTCTCTAAGCTTTCTCATCTTTGAAAAAGTAGGGAATATAGAACCTCAGTTTGTTATGAAGATAAAATGAGGCATATTTAAAACTCTTAGTACAGTGTATGTGGTATATAGTAGACTAATATCAAAATGTAGCCCTTTTATTTATTGACTGATTACCTTTATTTATGAGCACCTTTCTATGTGCCAAGTAATTTCTATTTGATTTCCTAGGCCTTCATAAAATGGCACTCCTGTGTGCTCCCCTGGCACCCTCTGTTCTGTAGCCCTAGTTGGCACTCCACATATTTATTGTAATTGCTTGCCTATGTGTCTCATTGGGGTAAGGTCCTGGGCCTGCCTGGTCCATCATTTATCATCATCCTCAGAAAACCCAGCACAAAGGAAGATGCTCAACCAATTTCTTTATTAAATGAGTGAATTAATAAATGCATGCATCATGCATACTGTAGTCAGGTCTGCTTTCATTGACCCTTCCTCGCTGCTTCTGCTTTTAGTCTAAATAGAGATGGAGGTTGCCAACAGACACTAGATAATTATATCTTAGTTACATCTAAAATTAAGTCAACCCAGGATGGAGATAGCTCCAAGTATTGCCCCAGTCATACTTGGATTTGTGTCAGAATTTTACTTTTTTTACTTGTGCCATTGGGAAGCTTCCCACTTACTTCTAAATTTGCAGCAATTTGAATGGTTGAGATCACTGGATGTATTATCTTTCCTGCCTAAGGAAGGCAGTGAAGACTAGCAAGACCTTGGAGGTAGATAGCCCTCCGTCCAATTCCAAGTCCTAACAACCAGCTGTGTAATCAATCTTACTACCCATCGAAAAGTTTCAGTTTCCTTGAGTGTTCAGTGGGATTAATAATAGAAATGCCTTATAGGATTATTGTAAAAATTGAGATAATACCATATAAAAGCTTACTAAATGCCTGGTGCTTATTAATAACTGTTAACTTTAATTTTTCTTATTACTGTAAGTCATTTACATCTTATTGGAATAAATAAACTATGCTAATGTTGGCAAATTACTAAATGTGAACTACTGAAACATTACTTGGTGATACCAGTGCAGTGGCCTTGAAAACACACTGTGCAGACCTTCTGATGTAATGTGGGGTACATAACTGACTGATTTCCCCTCTGGATCCACCACAGTTTTGTGCCAAGGCCGAGCTTCCCCTGGGCTCTTCCCAGCTAGTGATGAGCCACAGTGGGGCCACTACTGCAGTCCACTTCTACATGGCATTAACTCCCTTAACAGGTGACTTTGGCTCAAGGACTCCCCATCTGCCTGGTGGAATCTTCCATAACCCTCTGCTTCAGCCTGAGACTCTTCCTGCATAGTCTTTCTGGCGTCCCTCTCCCCTTCACAGAGGTCAAGACCTGCACCACAGTCCAAGACTCTCCCTGTCTTCTCCAGCTTCCTCTCCATTTTCTTTACTGGCTTTTCCTCTGGTAAACCTCTTGCTTGTCTCGAGGCCTGATTCTTGGAGGATCTGAGATAACACAAACAACTGCAATAGTTTTTATAGCTTATCCCTTAGAGTACAGACTTGGTATTTTCTTCATCAGTTGCAAAGTGAACATTATTATAATAAGTTTAACTTGATCTGTATACTGTTGTATTTCCTCAGATTTAAAATTTGGAGGCTGGGCATGGTAAATCATGCTTGTCTATAATTCTAGTACTCTGGGACGCTGAGGTAGGAGATTCACTTGAGCTCAGGAGTTGGAGACCAGCCTGGGAAACATAGCAAGACTTCATCTCTACAAAAAAAATTAAAAAACTAGCTAAGTATGGTGATGTGCTCCTGTAGTCCCAGATAATAAGGTGGGAGGATCACTAGAGCCCAGTAGTTTGAGGCTATAGTGAGCTATGAGCCTCGGCAATGGCATGAGACCCTTCCAAAAACAAAAATAAAAAACTAAGCCAAAGTCAAACCAAACAAAATAACAACAGCAACAACTACCACATAATTAAAATGTGGGGGTGCTCACTATAAATTCTCCAGGATAAGTACCATTTCCTCAGGGAGATTTACAAACATTTAAGACTTTACATGCTAATCTGCAGATTAAGTTTTAAGGTTGTTTTTATTTAAGACAGTCTTCCATAGTTTTTTTTTTTAATGTTTTAAAAGTATTTATTATTTTAAGGGACACGTAATAATTGTACATATTTATAGGGTGCAGTGTGATATCTTGATACATAATGAATATGTTGTATAAAAAATCCAGTCAGGGTATTTAGCATATTTGTCACCTCATACATAATTATCATGTAATTTTTGGTAAGAGCATTCAAGATTTTCTTTTCTAGCTATCTTGAAATATACAATACAATATTGTTAACCATACTCATCCTACTGTCCAATAGAACCAGAACTTAATCCTTTTTATTTTTTGGAGCTACGTTAAATTTATTGAACTCCCCAAGACAAACTCACCATAAACAAGTGTCCTAAAAATATAAAGAAAAAGAATTTTTACAAATCAATAAGACAAAGACTATTGTCCCATTTGAAAAAGTGGGCAAGAATATGAAGAGTTCATAGAAAAGGGAATATAAATTATCTAAACATAAGAATATATGCTTGAAATCAAATAAGAAAATGAAAATGAAAATTGCAGTAACTATGCATTTTTCGCTTACAGATTGGCAAAATAAAAAATTTTTGTAAACGACACCAACCAAAATATGTGGAAACAGGCTGTCTTGTAAATTACTCCAGAGGGCAATTTGACAATCTCCATCAAATTAAAAATGAACACACCCTTTTATTTCTAGGAATTTATTCACGAATATAGTTTAAGATGTGTGAAATTACATATGCCGTTTCATTTATTTATTTTTAAAGTGATGTAGTGATTTTAGTCTTTAACTTTCACGAACCAATATTTCCCACTCCACCACCACCAATAAAGAAACTTATTCATAGCTCTCCTGTGTTAATCTGTTTTTAAGTCTTCTGCTGATTTATTTGGTTTTTCTATTATTTCCAAATCCTCACCTGATGATGATTTTTGAGACAGACCAGGTCCAGGGGACAGTCACCATCCGGAACATCAGTGCCCTGTCTTCAGGCTTGTACCAGTGTGTGGCTTCTAACGCCATTGGAACCAGCACCTGTCTTCTGGATCTCCAGGTTATTTCACGTAAGTACATGAAATTCTCATGTCAACTCTGGATGTGGAACTTAGATTTTTGTTAAAACAGGAAATGAAGTGTTCTCCTGAATTGTTTGGAAGTTATCTGAGAATTAAATAGAAATTCTTTTTGGTGCAAATTATTGTGAAAAGTATTTTGTAAGTGTTCTAGTATACTTTTCAGCCTCTGCAATATAATAATCTTTATGACAAAATATCTTTTTTCTCAGGATCATTAGAATCAAACCAGTTCTTACTGTATAGTGCTATATAAAAATGTGTAATGATCTTATGGCTATAGCAAGATCTTTTTTTTTTCCCCCTAATTTCTTGTATCTACTTAATGATTGGGTATCTAGATTATAAATAGATGTACTGAAAATTTCTCTTTAGTTGAAAATTCTAGGTTATTTGAATTCTAGTTGCAAAATGGAGTGATCTGGCTGGGATGAAGCAAAAAGGTATCCCATTGATTTCCAGGGCTCATTGGGGCAGATCAGACAAGGTAGACAGGTGCCATTTATTTCCTGTTCTGATGTAGGTGTTGCTCACCGAAGGTGTGGGAATCACTTGATTGTTTATTTATTCAATAAATGTCAAGAGCCTGCTATGTGTCAATCCTAGCCATTGGTGATAAAGTTAATTGAGGTTTGCTTTATATAGATGCAATATTTTAGATAATTTTGTACATGCTAAGCAGATTCTTTAGTAAACTTATTTGCGTAAACAGTTGCATAGGTAAACACTATTTTTCTTTCTCTTCTTTTCTTTAAATATACCTTAAATATATTTTGCAGCCCAACCCAGGAACATTGGATTACTAGCTGGAGCCATTGGCACTGGTGCAGTTATTACCATTTTTTGCATTGCACTAATTTTAGGGGCATTCTTTTACTGGAGAAGCAAAAACAAAGAGGAGGAAGAAGAAGAAATTCCTAATGAAATAAGGTTTGTGTATCAAATTATTTGTCCTGCATAGCCTATGCTGTATGTTTATTCATTTTGGCAGTTAAGATTTCTTTGCTAATCGTATAACTCTGATGGCCAAGAAAATTAAAGTGGCCAAATGATATTTCCTTATATATCCCTTTCCTCATGGTACTTCTCGACTTTATTCACTGGATCATGAAGGGGAGTGTTTCTGAAAAACTCTAATTGTTTTCCTCTGCTCTCACAGCACCACAACAAACAATACAGAGGTTTTCTTTATAGTGTCAGATCCCACAGGGTGAGGGCTCAGTCCTCAGAACTCTCCCTCTCACCCTGCAGACACCAGTTGCAAGTCTGAACCTCCAGAACTTCTGGTCAACCAGCTTCAAGTTGGAATTCCCATGATCTCTCTTTGATTAACTTGCTGGAGTGGCTCACAGAATTCAGGGAAACACTTATGTTTACTGGTTTAATTATAAAGGATATCACAAAGGATACAGATGAAATGTGAAGGGTGAGGTGTGGGGGAAGGGGTGCAGAGCTTCTGTGTCCTCCTTGGGCAGCTGTCCTCCAGGAACCTCCACGTGTTTACCTCTCCGGAAGCCACCCCCAACCAGTTCTCTTGGGGTTTTTATGGGAGCTTTAAGACCTCAACATTCCTTCTTCCAGGGTATGGGAAAGGGCCCTCTCTGGAATGAAGTCCTTAAAACCCACAATCAGAAAGACAGGAGAGATTAGAGTCCTGACTTGGAGCAAGTGAAGGAGGACTGGAGAAGGTCAGAGAGATTCTGTTTCCTGAGGACTGACATACCCAACTAATATAACAAAGGATGGTAACAAGGGCTATGGGAGTTATGAGTCAGGAACTGTGTTTTATATATATATACCTAGGAGGATACAAATGAGGTGTCCCCCTGCTGCTCCATAGCTCCAGGATAGGTGGGGGTTAGGTGGCTGCCACAATAGAAAAGTTAATTTAAAACATGTGTTTCACACTGACATTTATACCAGAGCCCAAAGCAAGAAGGAACATCTAAAGAGCATACCAGTACCTGTACACAGAAAGGCCACAGCAGTCTGGCTCAGAAAGGCAGTTCAGACAAGAATACAAACGTTTTAAGAAAACAATGCAGAAGTGATTTTTAAAGAAAAGTGACTCTTGGCATTGTGGAGATTTGAGGAAACAGGCTCAATCTCAGATTTCATCATGGCATAGCCTTGGAAATGCTTTAATGACTCCATTCTGCTTAGGGAGACATCCACAGCCTTGCAGGATCTGACCCTTCCCTGCTTATCTCTCACCACTTTGAACTCACTCTTCCTTACAGTCTGTGCTGCATTTTCCCACACCTCAGGGCTTTCACTAGGGCCTCTGTTCTTTTTCAGGACCATGATCCTTCCCCGTGGTCCATCTCTTTACAAAATTCCCTGATCTGCTTCAAGACTAGTCCAAGCATCCTCCTCACATAAGTTGTCTTTAGTCCTTGCCCTTAAGGACCTTTGCAACTTGCGTATGGTCTTGCATTGATTGCTACCTTCATTTCAATAGTAGTCTTCTTGGATCTGAATGTTTTTACGTGAAATGTCTAGTAGAGTGTACTCAATAAATGTTAAATAAGTTAACATCTTAAATTACTGACTTCTCTCGGCCTCTTGTGATTCTTAAGAGTTAGGGCTGTATACAGCATTAGATTCCACCCTGGCCTAAGATTACTGGGGAAAACCTCTCATCAGCACACCACAGTGTTTTTCCAAACAGCAAAGGGCAAAAAATCAGACCAACTCCAATTATTTCTTGAAGTTATCTCTATCCATAGCTTGATTTCCTAGTTATTTTATGGCAACTAGTTCAGTGGATTTCTTCATGAATTTTCTTTTATTTACAGTAAATAAATATGTATATTTATATACATAATATTGTAAGAGACGTTCTTTGGGAGATTGATATTTCTTCTTTTATTCTTGGAGACTGAGGAGCTGAAGAGAGATTTTCTTGACCATTGTCTCAATGACGTCAAAGCTGAGGCCGTCTGAGGTGGCCGTGTTTGTTTTTAATGATGGAGTGGTCTTTCCCAGGGATCTGTGTTTCAGTCATATAGCCTTCACATGAAAAGAAGGAGTCCTGGATAGGAGAATAGGATTTACCTCAAGTAAATCCTAATGACAACTTTATTTTTGTTTTTTTTTTTCAGAGAGGATGATCTTCCACCTAAATGTTCTTCTGCCAAAGCATTTCACACTGAGATATCCTCCTCAGAGAACAACACATTGACCTCCTCCAATACCTACAACAGTCGACACTGGAGCAATAATCCAAAAGTTCACAGAAACACGGAATCATTCAATCACTTCAGTGACTTGGGCCAGTCTTTCTCCCTCCACTCAGGCAATGCCAACATACCATCCATTTATGCCAATGGGAACCACCTGGTCCCAGGTCCGCATAAGACTCTGGTAGTGACAGCCAACAGAGGGTCATCGCCGCAAGTTGTGTCCAGGAGCAATGGCTCAGTCAGCAGGAAGCCTCAATCTCAGCACACACACTCCTACACCATCAGCCATGCAACGCTGGAGCGAATTGGTGCAGTACCTGTCATGGTGCCAGCCCAGAGTCGGGCCGGGTCCCTGGTATAGGACACGAAGGGATGTTGTGTTCAGAAACAATAAATGGAATTCCCCCATTCAAGGGGGAGGGGTGGGGAGTGCTGGGAAAGAAAGAGTTTCCTTATATTAGTAAAAAGTACAACGAAGAAGGCACCATTGTTACCTGGCCACTAAGAGGTGTGAAATGGACTGGAATGTTTCACCATGAAGACTTGTTTCTCCACCACAGATTCCTGGGATTCTGTCCAAAAAGCTGTATTTCAAAGATGTGCCAAGCCAAGGAAAAAGATATAAGAGCAGAATTTTACTTAAAACCCAAACTGAAATCCAGATGGACTTGTTCTTTAATTCATGCCTAACTTAATACTTTTTAAGAGACTGAAGTGCCAGATGGAGTTTAAATATTGAAATTACTTAAAAAGATTTAGGTGTCCTTAAGAAAATAATGAGCAACCCTATGACATGTTCTGCCTGTCTCTATTCCCTCATTATGTAGAGGGCTTCATGGCTTAAATGGTTCATACTGGTCCCCACAGGACTGGCTCTTCTATCATATAATCAAAACTTTTTACACAAACAAAATTCAATAAGAAATGGAATAACAAAGGAGACTTCTTTGAGAAGCCCCTACATATTTATTTATCTCTTCCGGAACCATGAATTTCATATTTGGAATATTGCTGTATTGACAGATTCTTGCCTGTCTGTGTTATTCTAGGATCTGTAACAGGTCCATGGCAATTACTGTGTATCTTTTCCTGGAAAAATATTTTTTTAAAAGAAAACTACTGGAGTTTTTTTTTTTTTTTCTTTTTAAAAAAATATATGAGAGCCATTGGGCTAAGAAGGGAAAGACTTGTTTCCTTGTTCAGTGATTGTGTTTAATGAGGCCACAGGTGGTCTGTCATGTCATTAAAGATCTAGGTTTATGGGCATGAAGCAGGTCTGAGGTATTGAAGCCTTGCTGGGCAGCCTGTCAGAGCAAGGCTGTCCAGGTGTCCCTTGCTGTCTCATTAGGTTACTCTTAATGAGGACAGCACCTGATGCCTTTTGTATTGAGGTAGATAACTTTCTCCTTGTTTGACAAGTTAGAGGTTACTTGTCAGGGCAGGAATTGTTTTTTTTTTTTTCTTTTCAAAATAATTCTTTTTGCAAAAGAGATAAGACTGAGACAAAAGGGATATCTTCTGATGTGATGCTCCTGGGAGGGTCTGCCCTGTGTCTGTGACAGCTTAGGGTCTCAATGTTGCCTATATGCATTTTATACTACTGTGAAGAGACTCCTTTTGTGGATATTACCTGACTTGGCTGGCTTTGCAGTTCACCAGATTAATTTACAAACTCCCCACTCGATTTTGTGCTATGTAAATCTAGCCGTACTTGTAGGGGTGACTATCTCGCCTTAATCATACTTTCAGCAACCTCCAAATTTGTTTCCTAAATTATTTATAATATTCATCCCATAATTGATAAGTGTCTTTTTTTCCTGGATGTATTCTCTCACTCCCTCATCCCACCATGCTTTTTGCCCCCTTTCCTGCAAGGGTAGTCTTCACAGAGAGTGGCCTCCTGGCATTTTTTCATTTATTTGAATGAATGGAACCCAGCTGCTGCATATAATATTCTTTAAAGAGGGCCACGCTCAGAACCTAACCACTGCAACCATTTCAATATAGATAAAAAGTTGAATTTACTTTAGTTTTACTTATTTTTTTCCATTTGGTGATTCTTACTTTGTAAAAATTTAAATAAATGAATGTCTATACTTTTTTATAAAGAAAAGTGAAAATACCATGACACAGAAAGATGATACTATCAGATGCTATTTAGAATACATTTATCTTGCATTCTTTATTCTAATTATCTAAAATTCAATAAAGGTTTATTCATATAAAATAAGTTGTCATTAATTCTCAATATTACTGAGTATGTTGTTTAAAAATTTAGTGTTCTTAATATTGCAGCATTTTTTTCATTCTCTTAAATCATATTCATAATTATTTTAATAGGAATATAATATTCCAAAAATTACTTAAGTTTTTCCTTGTTGTTAGAAATTTAGGTTGATTCCAGTTCTCACTCATATGATTGAAGATGTAATGACCCTCTTCATACATCAAGCTACTTTCATATTTCCTAATCTGAAAGTTCATGAAGACAGGGTGCTTACCTGCTTTTCTCACACTGAATCTCCACCATCCACCACAGTGCCTCATATGGGTGTTGAGTAGATAAATGCTGATTTCTGAACTGAAATTGCTGATTTCTGAACTGAAATTGCCAAGTCAAGTTATGAGCGTGATTGTAGCTCTTGATATATATTGGATTATTCCTTTGCTTTAACATCTTATGAGATAATTGTATGTTTACATACAGTTGTAAGAAATCATAGAGATCCCATGTACCCTGACCTAATTTCTCCCAATGGAAACAACTTACATAACTATTATACCTTATCACAAATTGGCATGGATACTATCCATCAGCCTTATTCAGAATTCACTACTTCTACAGGTACTTGTGTATGTGAGCACACACGTGCATTTAACTATATGCAGTTTTATCCCACATGTAGGTTCACATGACCAACACTATGGTCAAGATATGGGATTCCTTGTGCTACCCTTTCATAGTCACAGCCACCACTCTCCTTCCCAAGTCCCCAATCCCTGACAGTCACTGATCTCCATTTCTGTAATTTTGTCATTTTGAGAATACTATGTAAATGGAAAGCAGTTTAAATCTTTGAGGGTTGCTTTTTGTTGTTGTTCAGAATAATTTATTTGAGATGCATCCAAGTTATTGCATGTATCAATAGTTCATTCATTTTTATTGCTAGGTAGTACTCGATGGTACAGATGTACCACAATTTATTTAACCATTTACCCATTGAAGAATATGAAAGATATTTTGGTTGTTTCTAGTTTTGGGCCATTATGAATAAACCTGCTATAAACATTTGTGTATAGGTTTGTGTCAGAACATAAGTTTTCATTTGTGTCTAGAATAAATGTCTAGGAGTGCCGTTGTTAGGTTGCATGTGGTAAGTACATGTTTTTAATTTTGAAAAAAAAAAAAAAGTCATACTCTTTTCTGGAGTGGCCATACAGTTTTACATTTCTTTCAGCAAAGTATGAGTGCTCCGGTTTCCTACATCTTGACAGCATTTTGTATTATCAGTATTTTTTTATTTTAGCCATTTTGATAGGTATAGTGATATCTCATAGTTTAAAATTTTATTTTTAGTTATGGGTACATCATGGTAAATGTTTATGGGGTACAAGTAATGTTTTAATATAGTCACACAGTGTACAATAATCAAATGGAGTATCCATCACCTCAAGCATTTATCGTTTCTTTGTGTTGGGAACATTCCAATTTCATTCTTTCAAAATAAACAATAATTGATGATTGTAGCCACCCTGCTGCTATCAAATACTAGGTCTTATTCATCTTATCTGACTGTATTATTGCACACATTAGCCGTCCTCACTTTATGCTCTCCTCCTCACTACCTTCCTAGTCACTGATAAACTTCATTCTACTCTCTATCTTCATGAAATCAATTGTTTTAATTTCTAGCTCCTGTTTCTGAGTGATAGTAATTTTAATTTTCACTTCTCTAATGGCTAATTTATTTTTCATGTGTTTCTTTGACATCTGTACATCCTCTTCAGTGAAATATATTTGTGTCTTTTGCCCATCTTCTGGATGCTTTATTTTTTTTTTACTATTGAGTTAAAAAAAAAATTCCAGATACAAATCCATTGTTGAATATGTTGTTTGCAAATATTTTTTCCCCATTTGTAGCTGACCTTTTCACTTACTTCACAGGGTCTCTCACAAAACAAAAGTTTTAAATTTTCATAAGGTCAAATTTCTTTATTACTTCTTTGCGTGAATTGTGTTTCTGGTATTAACTCTAAACTCTTTACTTAGACCTAGGTCCTCAAGAGTTTCACCTATTCTTTTTTCCTAAAAGTTGAATAGTTCTACATTTAATTCTGTGGTCCATTTTGAGTTAGTTTTTAAAATAATAGATAAGGTTTAGGTCAAAGTTTATATTTTTGTCTGTGGATGTCCACTTGCTTCCACACCATTTGTTAAAGTCTATTCTTCCTCCAGTGAATTGCTTTCATATCTTTGTTAGAAAAATAATTTGGCATATTTGTGTGAGTTTCTTTGTGAGTCCTCTGGCTGTTCCGACATTTTTTTTTTGTCTTTTCATCAATGCTATGCTGAAAACTGTAGCTTTTTTAAAAAAATCAATATTTTTTATTATGATATTGTGGGGTACAGTTAAGGGTTAGGTATACAACTTTAATAAACCTTAACATCTGGTAGAGTGGTTTCTCCCCTTTGATTTTTCTTTTTTAAAGTTGTTTTAACTATTCTAGGTCCTGTGCCTTTCTTTATAAATTTAAAAATAAGGTGATCTATTTCTACAAAACACCAGGCATTTTATTTTTATTAAATTTTATTTTTTATTATAAAGATGTGAGGTACCATTCAGAGTTAGGTGTACAAACATTGATTGTGCGGGTACTTGTTGATGAGGTATGCCTCTCCCTCCCCTAGAAGTTTCCTCAATTGTCAATCCCAGCCCCCCCGACAGTTTCCCACTACTGCCAATCGCTTTCTTATAATATTATAATTATTCAAGTTCCCCTTATGAGTGAGAACATATGGCACTCTGTTCTTTATTTCTGTGATAGATCCCTGAGTATGATCAACTCTAAATCCATCCAAATTGCTGCAAAGTCCATATGTTTGTCCTTCTTTACAGTTGCATAATATTTCATTGTGTATATGTACCACATATTTTTTATCCAGTCCAGCTTCAATGGGCAACATGGTTGGTTCCATGTTTTTGCTATTGTGAATAGAGCTGCAACAAATATATGTGTGCAGGTATCTTTTTTGTAGAATGATTTAAGTTCCTCTGGGTATTCCCAATAGGGGAATTGCTGGGTCATATGGAAGGTCAATTTCAAGTTCTTTCAGATACCACCACACTGTCTCCCAAAGAGGTTGCACTAGTTTGCATTCCTACCAGCAGTGTAGAAGTGTTCCTTTCTTGCCACATCCTCACCAGCATCTGTTGTTTGTTTTACTAATGATGGCCATTCTTACTGGAGTTAGGTGGTATCACAATGTAGTTTTGATTTGCATTTCTCTGATGATGAGTGAGGCTGAGCACTTTTGCATGTGTCTTTTGGCTGCTCGTATACCTTCTTTTGAGAAGTGTTTATTCATGTCTTTTGCCCACCTTTTTTTTTTTTTTTTGAGTTGGAGTCTCACTCTGTCAACCAGACTGGAGTGCAGTGGCCGCTCCTGGCCACCGCAGCCTCAACCTGCTGGGCTCCGGCGATCCTTCCGCCTCAGCCTTCCAAGTAGCTGGAATTACAGGCATGCGCTACCACGCCCAGCTGATTTTTAAAAAAAATTATTTATATATTTTTTATTATGAAGTTGTTGGGTACAGTTAAGGAATAGGTATACAACTGCGTTTCATTCAGGCACCCTGTTGATATGGGGTGTTTCCCCGTTCCCAGACAGATATTTGCTACTGTTAATCCCATCTCCCCCTCCCCCATAGTTTCCCAGTACTGTCAGTCATTTTCTTATAGTATTGCATTGTATATTTAAGGTCCATTATATGAGTGAGAACATGTGATACTCGGATCTTTGTTTCTGTGAGAGGTCACTCTAGTTCCATCCAGATTGCTGCGAAATTCATGATTTTGTTCTTTTTTATGGCTGCCTAGTATTCCATCGTGTATATGTACCACATTTTTTAAATCCAGTCCTCTTTTGATGGGCAGCATGGCTGTTTCCAGGTTCCTGCTATTGTGAACAATGCTGCGATAAACGTGCGTGTGCAGGTATCTTTTTTATAGAGTGATTTGTGTTCTTCAGGATATATTCCCAAGTAGGGGGATTGCGGGGTCATATGGGAGGTTGGTACTTAGAGCTTTTAGGAATCGCCACACTGCTTTCCACAGAGGTTGCACTAGTTTACACTCCCACCAACAGTGTAGAAGTGTTCCCTTTTC